TTTTGGATGAGAAAAAGGATTGTGTGGTTTGTGCCAAGAGGGAGAAAGTTCGTAAGAGGGTTTACACGTCCTGCAGTGCTCCTCAGTGTCGTGGGAAGCACATGCATTTCACCAAGGACAATAACTGTTGGCAGATTTTCCACTCCAGGGAGTTTCACGACACACAGTGACTTGATCGCTGTCTCCCTGGCTAAATTTTCAATTTTCATGTCCCTGGGTCAGTTGTTTTTGTTTCATGTTGTGTTGGGTATTAAAAAAAGGGGAAAGAATCGCCTTGTTTTCATGTCTACATTTATTGCCTTTATTTTGATCAAATACTAATTGTTTTTTTCCGACGAGTGGGGTCTGTCATCTGTCAGGAGATGGCAGGGGTGAGAGGTGGGTGCCCCACAGCTTTTTTTCTTATCTCATCAGAACTTCTTCCAAGGAAACTCATCTGAGGCTTATGAGATGAAGGAAAGGAAAAGTGTGTGGATCTGCTCTTCTTCAGTATGTGCTCTTTATGTAAGTGCTGTATGTCCTGTAATAATTGTTGTATTGCAGCAAAATTTTCAGGATATGTTAACAATAGCCCAAGGAACCTGTACACTTCGTTTTGTCCTTCTATCTGCTCCACTCTTGCACTTTGCTTGTTTTAATGTTAGAATTAATGAAAATAATTTATGCTAATTTATTCATATGTGAAGGACTTTTTCTAGGAAAAATTGGTTTTAGGGAGATGAAATGTTTGTTTTTGGAAGCCTTATTTACTACTTTTTAGTGTATGTAAAACTTTATTCCTTCCTACATTTCTGATGAAAAAAATTTCACTGACTTGTGGCCATATTTTGCAATTTTGACGTACTTTTTAAAAAAATTCTAAAAAATTCTACTTTTGTTCTTTTTCAGCCAAATGTGGAGGATGTCTTCTCCATATGATGAAGAACATTTTAATTGTGCAATTTACTTAATATTCAGCTGCATCATGCATCAAACTTTACTCAAAGTAAAAATTGTTACTTAATTTATGCAAATAATTTTTGCATAAATATGTAGACCTTAATATATTTTTTTGTAAGCTTATTCTCTCAGCTCTCAGAGGTATAGAATTCCTCTCCTCTGAACATAATTTAGGTGCCAGAATTTAAAAATTAACTGTGGTCAAATTGTGCTTTTTTTGTTGGTACGATAAAGAAATTCTTTATTTAGTAATGAGTCTTGTCCAAGTTCTCTACTAAACAGATTGTGGTTTCAGATGGTATTGCTGGCTGAAGCATTTTTGACTAATTTTAAAAGACTCTGCTAGAAAATCTAAATTTTAGATTGCTTGTCATCGTTTAAACATTGATACGATGAAGTCTGATGAATGTTAAGATCTAGAAGTTCTGTAGGTCAATGTCAAGTCTAAGAGACCATTATTTAATTAACTGTTTTTTTTTTCTGTAAACATACTTGAGGTTTCCTTTCGACCTTGGTTATGATTTACCGGAAATTGAGAGACAAGGCCAAATCATATTACAAATATGTTAAACATGATTTCTATTTCCTTGGTCATGACTGGGTCAGGATTATTTGATAAATTTGTAATATCATACAAGTAAGTTAGACAAATTCCGCATAAAAGCAGAAACATGTTTCACTGTGAAACTGTGTTACAGTGACAAAAGACGGTGTATTTTGTGAATCGTGATCGAAAGCTATTTATTCTGAGCAAGATTGAACTGACTATTTCCTGAAACTATTTCGCGAGACAGTTTTCATATAAGCCAGATGAAACACCTCCAGGGAGACTCCCAAATAAAAACAATGGGGTTGCTCTCCTACCTTTCAGGGGTTTATATAAAAACGGTTTTGGTAACTTTATTTTGGTGTCAAATGTATTTAGCACTGTTGTGCTAATTGAGGACACTGTAAATAAACAGTCAAACAAATATTGCAAATAGAACACAAATTATTAAGAATCCCAACTGGTGGGAGGCTGACCAGTTGGCTATTTACACAACGGGGCCGAGGAGTTAAACTGGGGACTACCGAGAACAAATCCAGATAGCGGAGGGACCTCCAGATTTCAAATCCAGCGCCCTAAACCACTCGACCATGTCGCCTCCCATCCTTATATGGTCCACAGCAGGCGTTTTTGCGGTACCTTTAGGGTAGTGAGCCGAAAAAAAAATATGACAGGAGAAAATATGTTGTTAGAATAGGTTAACCTCTTAGAAGTGAAAAAATTTCAAGCGACGCTCATAAAACTAGCCTGTGTAGCAGGCGTATAAAGGGGAGGGGGTGGGGGATGGAGGAAGAGAATTCAGGGGGAAAAAAACGGAGCGGGGGAGGGGAAAAGGACATTTTTCCCTTCCCCGAATTCTCTTCCTCCTCCCCCACCCCCTCCCCTTTATACGCAGGCTACCATAAAATAGGATCTTGCTCTTAAGGTGGTATGGTACCCTCAATATGGACCAAAAAGTTTGTTTAAATATGGTGAAGAAAGATCAATTGTGTGCCATTGCACTCAAGAAGAGAA